ATTTCTCTATTAAAAAAACTTATCTGCTGAACACTAATTAAGGTTTGCAGTTTTCTTGTAAAATTATATGCGTTAAAAGTTGGCATGACACTTATTTGTACTGTAAAAAGCACGGTATACAGATTCATTTAAACATTATACCATTTAAACCTCTTTTCAAAACAGGCTATCTTTAGAATAAACCTATTGCTCTTTGGTACACTACGGTTGTGCACATTACGCTTTAAAACATGCATTAAAGGTCATCATCTAGTTCAGTGGGGAATACCCGAGGTTTTTCCTTTTCAATGAAAATAACATTGGCACCGACCCAAAATACTTGATAGACACCTGGTCCAGTTAAATTCTGTTGTATGTATTAACAATGTGGACAAAACATGCTAAATCTTTTTAACTATGTCCTGGATGTTATTTACATGAATTATACTCTTAGAATCTGTAAGTATTCTTATAGTTTAAATAGAGAATCTGAAATTTACAGTCTAATACCTGGCACAACTTTAAACCCGGGAAAAAAATCGATCATAGACCGCCATTTTAAAATTTTGTATTCTTATATAATTTAATTTCACTTGTATCAAGCAATTTCATTGGCTAAATCATTCAGAGGAACATACAATATTTTGTATAAGATAACTTGCCTACGTCACAATGAGTTACGTCAAAAACATATTACTCTGCTTAACGTTACTTTTAAAATAATGCTCACTTTGAAGCCTTTTTTCGAAGGAAATATTGTCTCATTGTCTACATTGAAATTAAATTATAAGGAATGAAGCTAATTTCAACTTATGTTATCCGATATAACAAAACTTGGGGCAGTTTACGCTTTCTTATAAACCGCGTCGCGGTTTATAAGGCGTAAACTGAGTATAGGTCTAAATTTGAAGCCCTTCACCGGCATCGGTGACGTCTCCATATGAGTGAAAAATTCTCAAGAGGGACGTTAAACAATATACAATCAATCAATCAATCTAACATAAGAGACCTATTACATTTAAAGGTACTTGGACACAGATTTGAAGTTAATATTTTTTCATTTTTTCTGTATAATATCACGAATTATATATTTTAATAGCATTTAACACAAAAATTCATTAAAAATCTTATTTCATTTAAAAGTTATTAAAACTTAAAATTTTTTGGCGGGTTTGATTGACATATCCTTGCACTTTCACAAATTTTAACTTCATTCTTTATCCTTAGGAAAAGTCGCAATTTTGATATGTGTTAATGAGAAATATTAAACTTATATCAAGAAAAAATAATCTTATTCAGAGTAGAAATGTTAGAAAGCAAAACACCTTCACAAGTTTCGTCATTCCGATCAAAGAGATGCGTACAAAGTTTAGCAAATCGAGCACACTCGTGTTATGTACACAGTTTTTGTAAACAGGGCTCGAGTTCTGTTATTGTTTGTATTTAGAATTCACCGGGTACGTTCAATCGTCACTGTCTGCTTACCATAACTGAACGGACTGACAATATATTGTGTGTTTGTTTTGCTTTCGAACGTGTCTACTCTGAATTTTCTGGGTTATAGTATTATTATTTTTCATTTATACAAAACGAGATTGCCACTTTTCCTAAGGATTAAGAATAAAATTAAATTTGTGAGATATGTCAATCAAACCCGCCGAAAAAATTGAAATTTCAATATCTTTTAAACGAAATAAAATTTTTCATTAATTTTTCTGTGAAATGCTATTAAAATATATAAGTCGTAATATTATAGAGAAAATAATAACTTCAAATCTGTGTCCAAGTACCTTTAAATGAAAGAAGACGAGACGATCAACTTAGCTTATACTCAATTTAACTGATAGCCCTGCATCCAATCTATACTGATGTTGGTCAGATGACCAAATGATCATTCAAATGATCCGGGTCAAATGACAGATGCAGAGAGTAATATTTCGTTGCTTCAATATTTATTTGTTGAAGCATGGCATTGCTTTTGTACAAATTTCTATCAAATATAATTATATCAACATAGTTTCATGTATTGCTTGTAAAATATTTAAGATTCTCTTCATTTACAGTATGGTGGAGTAATCACACACAAAAATTCAAAATAGGGCATAACGTTAGTTTATTCTTTGTAATACTTCCTATTTACAATGTGATCATATTTGAATCTTACTAAAAAAAAATATATCGATACTAAATGATAATAATGTCCAAAACATTTTGAAAATTTCTTTACAATAAAAAAATATAATTCTGCTGAGTATATAAGACATAAATTATCGATAACATCGATCAAATATTGAATTTTCATTTTAGGGTGTATTTAAACTGTAAAATACCAAAGAATGGCTTCTGGACCAGACCCTGGTGACCGTTCCAGGTTTGCCAAACTAGGTATGGCAATAAACGAAGAACTAACCCAGGCCTGTAGAGATGTCTTAGAAATGGAGGTACCTCCTGGTCTTGTCTACAACAAAGTGAAAGCATCATCAATTTATACGAAAATACGCCCCGAGCAAGAACTTCATCATATAGGCGCCAAAACAGATGGTTATAAAGAATTTGATATAACATTGTTATATACACTGATAAGAAATATATGTACAACAATTCCACTTCCAACGAAGGGTTGGGGTGGAAACACATTGCCGTCAGTCGGAGAAACAACGATCGGCGACGATATTGAGAGGATCAGGATGATAAGAAACAACATGTCTGGACACATCAGCTCGGCTTCTATCCCACAGACAGAATTTGATGACACGTGGTCTCTCATAGCTGATATCTGCCAAAGATTGCAAACGTACACAAAGAAAGACTACATATCTGGATTTAGTAATATCCAAAGTCAGGCCTTAGAAGAGGAATACGAATCAACAGTCACAGAAAAACTTAAAGAAGATTATAAGAATAATCAATGTGTAATGGAGAAGTTATCTTCTTTAGAAGAGGATTTACTCGAATTGAAAACAAAATCCGAAAACAAAGGTGATTAAATAGTTTTATCAATAAAGATGAATTAAAGTTGATAGTGTTATTAAAAATATTTATTATATACGATACAAGGCGGGGATTAGTATTTCATGTGAACGTAAATTTGATAAATACATTTCTAATTATCAGCATTTCGAAAATGTTTTCTGAAAATTTCTTTTTAAATTAAACAAATGTGGCGAAGGCAGAATATACCCATTATTGCACTTTTTTATTTAAAAAGTACATATCTGTTACAGAGAACCCACTGGTAAAAGAAATTCTTGAAGACTGGAGAAAAGAAGACATCACCTTCATTCCTACAAGAGCAAGTGAAGCGGTTGAGGAAAAGCTTAAAAGTCATAACCTAATCACGGTGGTTGGAAATTCTGGTTCCGGAAAATCTGCAATAATTCAACATATTGCACTCATTCTGAAAGAGCGGGAATGGAAAGTTAGACCGGTGGATACGGTGAAAGACATAAAACAGATCTGTTCAACCGAAGTCTCAGATCGTATATTATTTGTTTACAATGATCCTTTGGGTAAGGAATCTGTAGATGAAATTTTATATCATTCATGGAAAAGTTTAGAGAAAACACTAGATATTTGCTTGAAGAAAAATAAACTATTGATATCATGTAGAAGATGCGTATTTTATGACAAGAGAATCAAGGGTATATTATTGGACGAATCCACTGTGGTAGAAATTGACAACGAAACAAATGGACTGACTGTTAAAGAGAAAAAAGCGATTTTTGATCGGTATTCACGGCGTCTAGGTTTATCCGAAGAAGTTGTTTCTGAAATAATTAAAACAGAAGCTTACTTCCCATTGCTTTGTAAGCTTTTTTCAAGGGAGACAAACTACAAAGAAAAGGGGGTTGATTTCTTTAAACATCCATACAGATTTATTAAAAAGGAAATTGAAGTTTGGAAGAAATCAGACAAGAAAAGATTTTGCTCTCTTATCTTGTTAGTAGCATTTAAAAACAAGTTGAAAATCGAAAGTATTGATAAAAAAAATATGAAATTTAAGGAAATTTTAGGAATTTGTGAGCTACACGAAAACACACATATTTCAGTCATTCGTAGTACTCTACATGAACTGAGAGGTTCCTATGTCAAACGTGTCGGAAATGTTTTCCTATTCCTTCACGACTTTATAATGGAGATAACGACTCTGGTGTTTGGTGTTGATTGTCCACAAGAGACAATACAGTACGCAGATAGTGGGTTTCTGAGACGTCGGATGAAGATAGATGACGATATAGAAGAAGAAGATCGTGATCCCTTCACTGTTTACCTTCCTGAAGAGTACATCGGTGATCTTGTGGACAGATTTATCATTGACATGCAAACAGAACACCTTGTAGATGTATTACTCAATCCATGTTTAAGGGAAAAAAGTGTTATCAAGTCTTTTATAGAAAAGTTGGACTCGCTTGAAAAGCTTCTTGTAAAAATTAACTTTGAAAAAGACAGATCGGAATTTAGAAAATCATTTGGGATGACTTTTTTCTCAAGACTTTATTTCCTTTATTTGCAGGATGAAATATGTCCATTGGTCGGACTTATCATATTTTGTCATAATGAAATTTCTTCATTTTTCTTAAAACGTATCCCTGAAACAAGGTTGATGAAATATCCTTTATTCTCTGCTCTTTGTGCAAATGGCGATTTAAACCAAATGGAGTTTCTCAGTGATGAATGTAAACGAGCAGGATTGATGGAATTATGGGGAAAATTCTTACCAATTCATATTGCTTCAATTTTCCATAATTTTTTAATAATTGAGGAATTAGTAAGACTCGGTGCTAACATAAACAAATTGACCACTCACGACTGGAATGCATTACAATTAGCTGCTCTCAATAAAGAAACACACTTTAAGGAAGCTGGAATAAAAAAGGACAAAAGTGATGGAGAAAGACGTAATGCAACCATTAATTGCTTATTGAAAAATGGTGCCGACATACATTCATGTGATGATGATGTATTCAGTCCTCTTATTATATCTTGTCAAAATGGACATGATAGCACGGTACAGATGTTACTGAACAACGGTGCAGACATCAACTCATGTAACATGGATGGTTTCAGTCCTCTTTTAATGGCTTGTCATGGAGGACATGATAGCACGGTACAACTGTTACTGATCAATGGTGCTGACGTTCATTTATGTCATAACAATGGTCTAAGTCCTCTTTATATAGCTTGTCAAAATGGACATGATAGCATGGTTCAACTCTTACTCAAAAACGGTGCCGATATTCATTCATGTAATAATGATGGAAGCAATCCTCTTTTGATAGCTTGTAATGAAGGTCATGATAGCACAGTACAACTGCTGCTGACCAACGGTGCCAACATCAATTTATGTACAAACAGGGGATCCAGTCCTCTTCTTATAGCTTGTCAAAATGGACATGATAACACGGTACAACTCTTACTGAGCAACGGTGCCGATATTCATCTATGTGATAATAATGGAGCCAGTCCTCTTTCTATAGCTTGTGCAAATAAACATGATTGCACGATTCAATTTTTACTGAACAACGGTGCTGACATGAATTTATGTGATAATGATGGATTCAGTCCTCTTTTTATAGCTTGTCAAAATGGACATGATAGCACGGTACAATTGTTACTGAACAATGGAGCCAATGTTAATTTATGTGAGAAGAATGGAGCTAGTCCTCTTTTAATAGCTTGTCAAAATGGACATGAAAGCATTGTACAACTGTTACTGAACAGCAGTGCCAACATCAATTTATGTGATAATGATGGAGAAACTCCTCTTTTTGTAGCCTGTCAAAATGGATATAATAACACAGTACAGATGTTATTGAACAATGGTGCCGACATCAATTTATGTGAGAAGAATGGAGTCAGTCCTCTTCATATAGCTTGTCATAAAGGACATGATAGCATGGTACAACTGTTACTGAACAACGGTGCCGACATCAATTTATGTGAGAAGAATGGAGTCAGTCCTCTTCATATAGCTTGTCATAAAGGACATGATAGCATGGTACAACTGTTACTGAACAACGGTGCCGACATCAATTTATGTAAAAAGAATGGAGCCAGTCCTCTTCATGTAGCTTGTTACAAAGGAAATTATACCACAGTTCAACTGCTACTGAACAACGGTGCCGACATGCATTTATCTGATAAGAATGAAGTCAGTACACTTTTTAAAGCTCGTCAGAATGAACATGGTAACACGGTGCAACTGTTCATGAACAACAGTACGGACATCAATTCATGTAACAAGGATGGGGCCACTCCTCTTTTTGTAGCTTGTCAAAAAGGACATGAAAGAATGGTACAGCTCTTACTGAACAACAGTGCCCACATCAATTTATGTAAAAACAATGGAGCCAGTCCTCTTTTTATAGCTTGTCAAAATGGACATGATAGCACAGTAAAACTGTTACTGAACAACGGTGTCGACATCAATTTATGTAGAAACGATGGAACCAGTCCTCTTTTTATAGCTTGTAAAAATGGACATGATAGCATGGTACAATTGTTACTAAACAACGGTGCCGACATCAATTTATGTCATAATAATGGATTTAGTCCTCTTTGCAAGGCTTGTCACAATGGTCATGATAGCACGGTACAGCTATTACTGAAAAACGGTGCCGACATCAATTTATGTAACAAAAATGGAGTCAGCCCTCTTTATGTAGCTTGTTATAATGGACATGATAGCACAGTGCAATTGTTACTGAACAAAGGTGCTGATATCAATTTATGTAACAAGAATGGAACCAGTCCTCTTTTCATTGCTTGTCAAAATGGACATGATAGCACAGTGCAATTTTTGCTGAACAACGGTGCCGATATCAATTTATGTACAAACGATGGAGCCAGTCCTCTTTTTATAGCTTGTGAAAATGGACATGATAGCACGGTGCAATTGTTACTGAACAATGGTGCCGACATCAATTTATGTACCAAAGATGGATACAGTCCTCTTTTTATAGCTTGTCAAAAGGGACATGAAAGCTCAGTACAGTTGTTATTGAACAACTTTATGCAACTGATGTGCATGTAATAGAAATATGACGTTACCTTTTCCCTCCAAGCACTTTAAAGCGCAGTTCAATTTTTTTCTAAAATTTAGCCTAAATAATATTATGAACTAATATTTTAATAAGAAGATATCTTGTATTATTTTATGAGATTTTAGCAAGTATAAAATAGAAAGAAATTGGCATCTAATTAAGGATTAAATATACTTTTAAAAATGCGTGATTATGGGGAAAGGGTATATGCGTGATTTTGCGTTAAAAATAGGTAATGGTATGCAAATATTTTTTTAGACATGACATCACTTGCACTCAAGTGATTAAAAAGATTGACTCTAGAATATTGAAACCTGAATTTTATGTACCTTTATTTATTTTATATGATTGATTGATTGTATATTGTTTAACGTCCCTCTCAAGAATAGAGGGACGTATGCCGGTGCAGGGCTTCAAATTTTGACCTTTACTGCACTCAGGGTCATTGAGCAGTGAGGGATCTTTATCGTGCCAACGCCTGCCGCTGACACGGGGCTTCGGTTTTTAAGGTCTCATCCGAAGGACCCGCAAATTGTACTTCAAGAACCGAGCGAATGGCGAAGGAACAGTTGCTACCCATTTTAACGACTAGGTTAATCGCAGCCGAGATACGAACTCACGACCTCCCGATCACGGAGCGTTCGCTCTACCGACTGCGCTACCGTGAACGGTGATTTCTTTTGACAAAAATACCAGTGAGAGTAATAATAACTTGTACTGCCTTTGATACCTATGAAGTTTCACAGCGATGTGAGTATTTTTGTGGTTATATGTATTAAAAATCCTTTTTCATATCTTAGTGGCAGATGATAGTTTTTTTTATAATCAAACCGTTTGACTTACAGTTTAATTAATATTTATCTGCTTCTAAAACGCGCATTGGAAAATTTTGAATTTTTTCTACATTTAAAAATAGCATGACATAGTCTCTGAGGAATTTGAAGCGTTGAGGAATAAAACATGTACAATTTACACAATGAGCCCTATATGATGACAGAGGGAGAATTTCAAAATTTCAATGCAGCATTGTTAAGGCTTGAAAAAGGGGGCGGGGCCTTATTTATACGGAAAAGTTTACTTTGACGTCATACAAAAAAATTCATATAAAATAATTAAGAGCTAATATCGGCCTTTCAATGCTGAAACCATTGTTTAGAAAGGATGACTAATAGATCCATAAAATAAAAAAATTGTGTGGCATTCTACCTTAAATGAAAAGAACTTAAGCATATTGGAATATAACCGCGCATTACTTCAATTTCATTTTTCAGGGCTTTATACAGGACTCGTTAAGTTACACCTTGTGGAGTGCACTGAATCTTGTTTTGCAAGTATATTCCAACTGAGGCATTTCCCGTTTAGTTGTGTATTTTAGTTGTCAACAGGAGCCTAGAATTAACTATTTTAAGGACATGTTTCCGACGTACGCGGACTACTTCGGTTGTCAGAGCAGCCTGGTTGAGATCTGAGTTCTACAACCAGCCACAACGTAATTCCACATGAATGAGCCCCTGCGTTAAACAATGGCATATATGTACAATAACATACATCTCTTGGGTAAGAGTCACCCTCACATTCACATATACATCCATCATGAGTACTGTCTCAAAACACCAATACAATCATCATACTTGTTCACTCTGTTCATGATGTCTTTTATTAACTGAGTGTTACCATATCAGGGGAAAGTCCATGACATTAGATTCAAAGCACTTCATTTTGCATTTAGTTTTGCTCATATCTTTACATAAATTTTAAAATTTACAAAAAAATGTCATCTAAGTGGGAATGGGACTCAGGTAGAATACAATTATGAAATATTAGTACATTTACGAGGGCTGTTCAATAAATAATGTCCTCGGTGCTCAGAAAGAAGCAAAAGACGCTTTTCAATGTTTTAGTCTTCATGATTTTGCTAATTAATCTTTTCTAAGTAAAATACATGTCCATAACATTTTTTATCCAATTTCTGGTTGTTGTTAGAACTCATTTTTGGGTATGACCTTTAGTATACTGGAAAATGGCAGCTCCAATGATTTCCCGGACTTGTTTCGTCCCTCTGAAAGGTGTTTTTTTTCAAGTTTGAAAATAGAAACAAGTCAAAAGGTAAAAAATTTGGCGAATATTGTTCATGTGAAAAAACATTAACTTTCTGTTTATCCCGAAAACCCCTTTACTCTTCAGAGTATGCGGATTTGGACGCTGTTTTGAAGAAATTCAATGTAGTGGATTCCTGATTCTGGGTCCTTCCTCTAATAAACTTTTTGATTTTTTTGCAAAAAAACTGCTTTCTAGACTCCTCCAGAAATTAAACTTTCTCTCCGAATACCAATTTGAACAACAATACCACTAATTCTTAAGAAATTTACATATAAATCTGTCTCTTTGCTCTTGAATTTCTCTGCTCTTGTCAGACATTCGCTGTTTTTATCAAGTAGATCTTATGGTAAAGTTTGTTTTGAGGGTTTTAATCAATAGATTCATGTTCCAATATCTATTTATAAATAAAACAAACGTGGATAACTAAAATTACTGATATTTTGAAATAATTGTTAAGAATTTCGTATACGCTGTCCTTTTCACTCATTTTTCAAAATACAGGGGGACCTTTGAGTACCAAGCTTTTTTGCCGTCAAGCGTTTCTTAAAAACAGTGTAAACTGTTCCCGATATGATGTCTATTGAATTTGCTATGTGTCTTAAGGTCAATCATACATCATCAAATATCATTTGTTGAAATTTGGCAACCAGTACATAAGTTGTTATATTTTTGTTGGCAAGGAGGGTACCCATTTTTGATGCCCATTATATAATTTTTGATCATTGAAATTTACTTGCTCTTTTGTCTATAAAACAGGCATTGGTCGCTGTAAATGTCACATATTTCAGTGAATAATTCTTTGGGATTTTTAACAATTTTAACGACAGCTATAATGAAGCTTTTATTTTCACTCTAGTTTACTGATTCTTTACCATTCATTTATAATGCAGTGTCTCGAAAAACCCTTGTTTCCCAGCTTCTCACGATGAAACTATGTGATGAAAAGTGGTCACATAAACTGTTATAAATTCATGAAAGATTCAATAATGAGAGAAAGTCAAGTTTAATGTCAAATGATATCTGTAATGTATGTTACATAGTTCAGGACATTATTTATTGAACAGCCCTCGTAACTGTCGCTGATACGCTTAAAACTAAACAAGAAAAAAGTTAATTCAAGCACTAATAAGCTGTTTCTTTTATATATTAATTTCATATATAATTCATTTGTTTTCATTTATTTTACTGTCTTTTACATATATATATATATTTTTCAGGTATTTACTTATTTATCTTTTTATTTTCTTCTTATATCCATTACTTTATTTATTTTATTTTACCGAGGTTGGTTCCTGATATTTAAAGTAAAACTTTTTGTCCAGTATATTTTTAATTTCTATCAACAAAGCTTAATGGATAACCAAGTTAAAAAAAATGGGGGGTTAATTACATGCTTCTTCTGGCACTACAGTACACTAAATTGGACATTTCTGCACGGAATTTTGAGTCTTTATCAAAAACTACTTCTTCAACGTTTTACCTCCGATATTTTTATCCAAATAATGCATGGAACAAAATAAAGTTTAAGGAGACACTTTAAATAGTTACTGCGAAAAAGTTTCAAATCGCTTTGCATAATAAATGATTTGACATTCCTGCACTCTCAAATTGTGATTTTTCTGGCATTGAAAATTTCATAAGGAAGAAAATTATATTTGAGTTCTAATTTTTTGCCGAATTTGAGCAGATAGGTCAAGTTATATTTAGAATGAAAATCAAAATTGGGGGTATATATTGTGATTTTTAAATATTTATATAGTAAAAATGTGTCTATTTTGTGCAAAAATTAGATTAGTTTTTTCCTGGACATTAAGAATGTACATGTTTTTACAATATTTGCCATAATTCCTTAAAAATAATCATAAGAAATATTTTAATAGATATTTCAGAACCAGGATAACAGATTTCACGGCAAAAACAGCCTTGTGTGCAACCAGCATGGAAAAATAGGAATCTGAAATTAACAGTACTGTTTATACACCTGCAGTACAAGAGGGAAATATTGATCATTTTCTTCTAGTAAAATGTCACCGTTCACGGTAGCTCAGTCGGTAGAGCGCTCGCTCCGTGATCGGGAGGTCGTGAGTTCGTATCTCGGCCGCGACTGACCTAGTCGTTAAAATTGGTAGCAACTGTTCCTTCGCCATGCGCTCGGCACTTTGAAGTGAAAGTTGCGGGTCCTTCGGATGAGACCTTAAAAACCGAGGCCCCGTGTCAGCGGCAGGCGTTGGCACGATAAAGATCCCTCACTGCTCAATGGCCCTGAGTGCCGAGTAAAGGTCAAAAATTTGAAGCCCTTCACCGGCATACGGTGACGTCTCCATATGAGTGAAAAATTCTCGAGAGGGACGTTAAACAATATACAATCAATCAATCAATCTAGTAAAATGTCCGCCAATATAGTTCTTAGCTTAATTCTACTTAAATGGAATTAAATCGCGTTTTTTTTTTCATTGAAAAATTCCAATTTGCATTGTAGAATACAGATTTAATTTTAAAACTTAAAAATAATGCAAAATTTTAGAAAAAAAAAGTCTGCTCATGAGTTAAGGGTCGCACCTCCTTGAATAAATGATATAAGATATACCATAATTTTATCCTAGACTTTTGTGAATAATTTTCCTTAATATATTTTTTTTATTGGAATAGAAGTATATTACAATATAGTAGTTTATATTTTTTTTTAGAAATTTATATTAAGCTTTTTAAGACAAAATACGTACAGTGTGCTGTGTATGTGTACCTACCGTTCAAAAGATATCTTTTGATTATCAAAGCCAAAATGAAAGTTAAAGTTTTCAAATATGGCAAGCAACTACAACACCCATAAAGCCTTCAATTCTTATATGCATTTAAAAATATAAGAAATCTTATTTTATATTTTTTTAATAAAAAAGGGAATAATCTATTAATTTTTTAAGCTAATCTTTAAAAATAAA